CAGGGAATTGGGATATAAGGGTTCTAGAGCAAGGGTTCACTTCTTTGTTAACTGTACAACTTTCCACGAGTAAACCTGCTGTCTGAGCCCCCCAGTTTCTTTATTGGTAAAAAGAGATTGCATTACCAGAGGTTACAAATTTGGGGCCCACAGACTACTCAACTCCCAAGGGTCCATGGGATTTTATAAACTCGGATGTGGTAGAAATTTACATGTTACTTTTACTAATCTCTAGCTGAAATTCAGCATTTCTTTCAATTATGGATGTAGCAGCAGGCCACAGTATTAGCAATACCATGACTTTGTCACTATAGAAATGACATGTTTTAAAATCACACTTCAGCTGTTAGTCACAAAAAAACACATATTGCTCAAAAATAAGTATTTTTAATAAATTGAAAAATATATTTCAATAGTTTCCTTCACAATCCTATGTATTTTATGCAATTAAAACATTCTTGAGAAGTCCACAGACTTTACCAGGCTACTGAAGGAAGCTACGGCACAGAAAGGATTAAGAACCCCTGCAAACCCTATAAATTTTAGCTCTTAATTTCTATGAACACACCATATACATATAAAGTTCAAAACAGGCAAAACAAATTCACGGTTAGTTCGGGATAGGGGCTAGTAGTGACAGGATAGAGAGGCTTCTGGAGTGCCAGTAATATCCCATTTCTTCACCCAGATGATAGTTACACTAATGTATTTGTTGTGAAAATCCATAGAACTGTACACATATAATTCTATGCATTTTTCTATATGCATGATCTATCTTGGAAAAACAGTTTAAACATATTTTTAGAAAAGATAGACTTGAAGCTGTATTTTGGAGCTTCATTATCCTGGTATTGGAATGCAGTCAATTTTAATTTTAATTTTCTAACAGGTTAAGTCCCCAAAGGAGTTTATTAAAAGTAAGTAAGTAAATGAATGAATAAATAAATAAATAAATAAAAAGAGGAAAAGTGATGGTGTCTCTCTGGCTTCCAGAAATTCTGACTTAGTGGTTTTGAAGTACAATCTAGGAATCTGCATTTTAACATTCTGGTTAAAATTTTTAGGTGGTTAGCTGCACTTTTAGGTGATTCTAACATTTTGTACTCTGAAAGCACAACCTTAGATTAAAAAATTGAATGAAAAATGAAGACAGGTAAAGCCCGGTAGCTTAGAAAAGGAAGCTTATTTTATAGATATTTTGATTTGGAAGAAACCACAGTGGTAGTATTTTCTTGAACTTCTCATATTCTTTCCACAATATTCCTGACAGACGGGCATCCAATTCTTGTGTACTTATTTCCATACACAAAATAAACTAATCTCTTCTTCCACATGAACCCCTAAGTTACAAGACTCTTCGTAGTCTCTTCTTCTCCTGGCTTTACAGCCTTAGTCCCTTCAACCATTACTCTCCAATGTCTCTAAATCTGCTATTCTGCTTGGCGCACGGGAAGTACTATGTTAAGTGAACAGTGCCACATCACTCTAAAACAGTAGGATCTGTCCCTTCACTTAAACAACTGACTAAACCAAGCCCTTTCTATAAACGATATTGAATTCTGTTACACCACATCTTGATTTTGAGTCCCATTCCAGTCTTTCTAAATAATTCAGAAAGGGAATACAAACATATTAACAATACTATCCATCTTTTGAGATAAGCACACTAAGCTTTCTTCTGTACTCTGTTAAGGAGTTTTGGGAATACCACATTAAGAACAAAAAAATGAGAAAGAAATCCTAGAAAGTAACCAGCAGTCACAGAAAACAGAAAACAAATGCTGCATAACGATCCAGAAAGAAATCAGAAAGGAACCACCTCTCTGCTCACTTTTATCCTTAACTGTCCCTTAAAAATATCAACCCTCCCCCAACACTTTAGCTTATCATGTATATCAAAAAGCCTCAGAGGAACGAGAAGAAGTTCTGAGCAATCCAAAGCCAACAGGAAATCAACTACCTCAACAACTACTGATCACCTAATATGAGCACCCACAGAAACAAAGATCCCTTAAAAACTACGGAACACCACAACGTAACAGCTGCATGGAATCTCCCTCCAAATTATCATTATCAGAAGGAATGTATCCCACCATCCACTTTGTTGTCAAAAGCCATTATATACAAGCTGTGAAAATTAGTAAGATGGGTCAGTTATTTCAGGACATGCTATAAAGAACACTGGATTAGACTCAAAATTTTGGACTCTGACCATGTGATGCACATGATGCCTAAAATCGATTTACCCTTGTGCCTCAATTTCCCTACACACCCTGCTTCTATCACAGAGATTCTGTCAAATAGAAAACTATTCAAACGTGTTAGTTATAAAAATACTATTAAATAACAGCAGAAAATGTTACAGGAACACCAGGCTGAAATATACTCGAACTGAATGAAGACCCTGTTTATTGACCACCCAGTTTCTCTGCCTGGGAAACAGATGGACAGGCAGCAAAGTGTGCCTGACAGGATGACAGGAAGGGGACCTGCCACACCTGAAGGGTAAAAGTGAGACAGAAAGGTGGGTTAAAGATGTCAAAGTTTGATGTGCAAGGTTCACTGCTGCTACAGTATGATCTTTTCTTCTTAATTAAGGGCAATAAAAAGAGTGAGTGGAAATACGTAAATCTCCAGTCAAGTGAGTTTTAGCCAGGAACGCTGACACTGCAGACGCGATGGTTCAAGCATCATTGTGCTTTGCAAAGAGAGCTAGCATCATCATCAGGGTCTAAGAAATGCTCACTTGTTAAGCGCCAGTGTACCTTGGAATGGATGTATAATAGCTGTGGTTGTTAGAAAAGGCTGGATTAAAATTTAGAGATCCAAGTTCTAATCCCAGAGCTTTGCTATTAAACTAAGCAATATAACTTTGTTATGTAAACTTTTGCTAGGATTTACCTAAATATTAGGAAAAGACTATCTCTAGGCTTTCTTCCAGTTTTTAAACTGTAACACTATTTTACAGACGTATAGCTATGAACTCATAAAATCTAACCTAAATATATTAGGTATTGATATAAATGTAAGGTACACACATTTATAACCAATGACATAGACGCTGAATGTCCTGAAGACAGCATTATATTAGAAGCTCCAGTATAAGACGGGGCTTAAAAATGTGGAAAATATATTAGGTAAAGTGCATCAGATTAATATTAACAAGATCAAGTTTCAAGAGGGAAAGCCAATAATTACCATCTTTGTTATTTAATCTATCCCTTAAAAAATACACTGATATTTACATTAAATAATTTTCAAAAGACACGCTACTAATCTGAGTTTCCAGATAATTAATTTTTGTCTTTAACTCTTAAATGCAGTTAAGAATGACAGACAACTTACACTTTTAAATAACACAAAGCCCCCATTTGAAATGTAGGCTCTCTCAGAAACCCTCAATGTAAAGCCCTTCAAGATGGAAGTGCCTAGGAAGCAAACTTAATTTTAAATGCTTTTCTCCAAACACCCTTCTTTAAAACAAAAGTGTAGACTGCCATTAATTTTCAGTTAAAAAAAAAAAAATACACGGAAGGGCAGAAAATGCCTACGGGAAAGCCAGCTCTAAATTCTGCATAACAAAATTAACACTCACATTTTGGTTACCTAACATGAAAGACATTAGAGCGCACTGAGAGATAACATGTTGGAAGTTCTGGGTTCTGGTTGTTAGCTCTGCCACGAAGAAATCAAGTGATCTCTTAATAGCCTGGCTTTCTCATTTGTAAATAAAGGGAAATGGTAATGACCTGTAAGGTTCCATTTCGACTCTTAAGTATTTCAAAATTCTTATGGTCACATTTTTTAGCTGCTTGAAAACAGGAACAGAAAACTGATTTTGCCCCCCTTCCCACATGATCATTCTCTGTCAAGAAAAGCTTGAGTCTTATTTTCATATTTTCTTCCAACCAAAAAAAAATAATAAATAAAAGGAGACATATTTAGTGTTTGTGCATCTTCGAATCAGACACTATTAATCATTTCTTTTAAAATTAAATTACCTACCTCACTGGGTGTTGTGAGGATTAATTCATTAGTGTTTGTAAAGCACTTTGAGATCCTCAGGTCAAAGGCGCTATAGAAGTGCAAAGTAGTAGTATTATTACTAGATTCTTGCTTATTTAAGGAATTTCACAATCCTTTAAAAGCTAACTCTGTGTTATGATTTAGACATCTATTTGTAAAACCCTGCATTTTATCCACATTACTTTTAACTCTTCTTGAATATCTTATAGATAGACAGGGGCAGAATGTTTGGAAACAAATGATAAAGGTTTAACTTTGATCTACAAATGGAGGGAGAGACTAAGGGAAAATCCATTGTGACAAATTTTGTTCAGCATAAAATTTTAGTGAGAAATCTTGTCAATCAGATTTAGAAGTGTGCCTAAGTTGTACCCAAAACAAAATCAAACCCTACTTTAATCGCAGATTCTGTAATGAGAAATTCCTTTCTTCAAAGAGAAAGGGAAACAATTTTCAAATCAACTCCACTTTAAGAGGGGTACTGAGCTTATAAATTACGTTACATGCGTATACATGCACCTGTCATTTAAAACCTTTATATTTAAATCACAGTAATAGTATTAGTATAAACTGATGTCAAAATAATTAAGCAGCTTTTTCTTTAAACTACGCTCCCACCCCCAATTACACAAAGCAAACTATGCACTGAAAAGAGGTCAAAGCAATTTTGCTTTTATGGAATTTTAAGAGGAAAAACAAAAGAGGGCCAAGGCTTTAAAACCAGTTAAAATCTTTTATTCCACACTTCCCACCCCTTTCTCTAACCAAATCTTCTCACAATTAAATCAAAACAACACACACACGTACACATACACACACACAGAGCTAAGAGAATCAGAGCCATCTATACATTGGATACTCTGCTCGATAAACACACTTTACAAATCTGCCAACATCCTCTGATGAGATTCTCCAGCATAAGCTCCAGTCCCAAGAGCAAACTGAAATTTAGATATTAAACTTTAAATACTTACCTCCTGCTCCTGTTGAAAGATGACGACTCTACCACCTTTATCTCCGGTTGCTAGTAATTCTCCAGAATGATTAAATTCTACTGTAGAAATTATATCTGCTGTATAAGTGAAACAAAAATGAAAAAGACATTAGTTCTTTCTCAACTCACTATAGAGTTTCTTAATGAGAACTTAGCATGTTTTTCCTAATATATTCCAAGTCTATATATCAACCTGCCATCAGAAATAAAGTAAATCTAAAGTTCTTTCATGAATATTTTGCTTCACCCAGAAGAAAAAAAACTCCCCAGAGTAAACCAGTGACACTATTTTAACAAACAGGAACACGACAAATAATAAACACAAGCACTTTATTAATATTTCACTAAATTCATGAATGTAAGGAAATCAACAATTTGTGAAACATTCTATGACAGCACCATTAAACATTAATATCGATAATTATTGTGCTAATTTTCTTTCTGATATACTTTTGATAAGCTTCTTTATGCAAACCCAAAAATGGTCTATAAAATTAAGACAGATATAAATAAAATGGGAAAATTTTTTAAATGTAAAAATAATTGCAGGTGGAAATTTAACAATCATAAATATATAAATTAAAATTATGGCTTCTTAAACAAATGTTTGCAAATAGAACACACTTATACCAGCAATGCTTTGTGCTATGCACCTTCAACATGCACAGCTCTTCTTGTGGCTCCCAAACACAGCAGGGGCTACTAGAATCAGTCATGTTACACCCAAAGTCGGTGCTAACTTCACAGTCAAGTTCAAATAAAATTATCAGGGTTTTTTTCCTTGCTTTTTGACACCAGAGCCATTTTCCTAAAGAAAAAAATCTAAGTTACAGAATTGGGCATTAAGATAAAGCAATTACACTAAACAATTCACCATTTTCACAAGCATTATGCCATATTAGGAAAGACCCTATCATACGCATGTTACATAAACAATCAAACTTTTACCATAAGAGAAGGGTCATTTTCTTGCCTATATTAGCTAACCGTAAGAATTTTAAAATGTAACTTTATATAGTAAAGAACACTGTATACTTTAAATTTTAAAACTTACTGACCAATGTATTGTATCATATCAATAACCTGTCCAGCACAGCATTCTACCATTTTTTCATTTTAGTGATTTTTCCAAGTTCAGCTTGATTTTAGAAAGCTTTCTTTGCTTCCTCCATTGTCTAGGTCCAAGGCACCTTACCTTTTTGGAACACTCTGAGAACCTACTGAAAGTTCACATGCTCTCCCAAGAAACTGTACATATTTAAGTACACACAAAAATTTGCATATAATTTCAAAAGGTTTGGACAGCATCCCACCTCCAGGTTAAAACCTTTAGCCCAGACAACTCACCGTGGCCGGTGGTATCAGGAGGAAAGAATAAATCTAGTGTTTACACTACATGCAAATGCAACACCACGGTGTAAAACTGAATATACTGTACTATTCTGTAAAGCCCAACATCTAAATACTTAAAAGCCATTCTATTAGGTGCTCTGTACTGTATTTACCTCTGTAGTAAATATAATAAAGGATTAAAAACATACATAGTCCCTGCACTTAAAGCACATTATAGTATAGTTACAGAGAGAAAGTAAGTAGGAGCTAACAATATCAGAACAAATAGTTACATCTTATTTGAAGGTTAGATTCTAAAATCAGGGAATAAGGTAAAAGCCATACATAGTAAAAATTATCTTTAAATTCAAATCCCTCAGACAGACACCACTTTGGAAATGTAAACTCTTTCTCTTGTTCTTTTAAGTCCAACTCAGCCAATTTTCCCTACAGCATTGATAGCTTGTGGTTTCTTTGGCTAACTCATCAAATGAACTAGTTAATTTGAATATAAAGTCATGCTTCACCAAAAACACCTTATCTCTCGACTGTAGTGTATGCTCTTGGCTTGGTGAAATGCTCACACCCGATACCAACTCCAGATTCATTCTCCTTTTCACTCCATGGAATAACAGGAAGAGTAGGCTCAGTATTTAAATTATTTCCTCTTTCCCCAGGTCCAAATTGTTGCAACCACCTAAATTAATTCCTTGTTAGGTAGATGAACTATTACAGATAAGACTTAACAGGGCATATGTCAGTGATCACGGTATGACCAGCCTGGCTGGCCTCTCTGTTGGGCAGTAGTAAAAAGCAGGGAGGACAGAATGCTGCAGGATGGGCTCCATTTCTAATGGGGAGAAATGTCGATCTTCCTTAGGTGAACTGGACAGGGGGAAATCTAGAGGTGATTAAGTCAGTAAGGAGATCATTATAATAAGAGGATTGAGGAGATCTGGGATGGGGGTGGTGGCAGTAGGGATTCCACACCTGTATTATTCTTAGAGACAGAACAAGAATCAAGGAATAAAACAGCAGGCACAATACCCCCAAGTACTGAAGACGTTACTGACTCACATAGCTGGTTATAATGAGGTCACTGAACATCGGATGGGGAAGGGAAGGAGACGTGTGTGCACGTGCATGGGGGGAGCACATGCATGGGGTGTGGAGGGGAGGAAGGAGAAGAGGAAAAGACCAATAATTTAGTGCAGGACGCAACAGGAATAGTAAGACATCTGCCCTTACAATGTGTCACTTCTTATGCTAAGAATGGTTATTTTACAACAAGAACTGCAGAGTAAAGTGAAATGATACGTGTTTAGTACCAAACCAGCTTTGCAGCAAGGGTACAAAACTCTAAGAGGTACACTTGAGACAGACTGAGGAACCCTAGAAACAAATGGCCTACACAGTGAGAGGCTGAACGTCAGGAAACGACAAGAAACAAAGATCTATACCATAAAAGTCAACCCACTTTAAATCCTTGAGGGAGAGAAATATTGAGTGAAAGGCATACAATTTTCTCATTTTAGATATTTTTAAGACACTACTGTTTGTGACTATCTTGCCAAAAGCCAATGAACAAACAGAAAATTTTAGAAATAGCTAACCAAGCCACTGACGCTTAGTGAGTAGTGTAGAGGAATTTTATTTGGGGGAGGGGTGGGCAGGCAGACTCATGGCCTCCTTGCTGTGATTTTTATACTGCATATATTTAATATAGCCATATTTCAGATAAGTAAATTATTTTCCTGCCTTGTATGATGAAGTTAAATAGGTACCACGCCATGGTGTTCCCTCCTCCTTCCCCACAATAAAAGAAAGGGGAGAAAAGAAACACCATGATTTCTGGATGCCTGGCCATCCACACATGTGTGAGAGAGCCACCATATACACAAGCACCTATTAAATCTCCAAGTGTACGACTGCTTTTAAAGTGTTTTTGAGTTGTAAAATGCCTAGATCTCACAAGGTCTCACTGAGAATATGACATATAAAAATGATGAATAAAAGGGAGAATAAGATCAAATTCTGCTTTGTAGACCAAGAAAAATATCCAGGAATCCGTTATGGAGTATGCTATGAAACTGAGCTTTGAGCTGTATGTGCTTCTACACCCTGGCGTGCCAAGAAGGGGATATGGGTTTGCCTGGATACGGCAAGCACCCAAACCTGTAACCTCCAGTTCTGAGAAAGCTCTTTACCTCAGTTTACCTCAGTGTGCCATACAAACATTTCTGTTTTCAAGTGTGCCAGGATGTGTAAAAGATGAGGAAGCATGGCTCTAAAAATAGTGCTCCCACATCATGTGCACTGATACCCAAATGAGGTTGGTCAAACACTGCTATCTATGTATTTGAAAGTAACAGTAATTCTGCTCCTAGAAAATATTCTTCTAATGTTCTGATTCCTATGCCATTGAAAAATATTACAGAGTAGATGACTGCAGGAAGTCTACAACAGCACTGTTCGACAGAACTCTCTCGTTCCCATGGAGGTGTCCTATATCTGCGCTGTTCAATACAGTAATCGCTAGCCACATGTGGCTCCTGAATTTTTAACTTTAGCCATGTGTCTAGGGGCTATCATACTGGACAGCCTAGGTCTAAAACATTACAGAGTGGACACTGACTTCTACTGCAAAGCCAAGAATGCTGGAACTAGGAGAATTTTGAACCTTTAAACAGTGCACTATGGGTAAAACAGAACTACTGTGCACACACACACCCAGATTGTTACCTCAAGGAGCAGGCTGAAAATATAAATGCATTTCATGAAAATTTAGATTCCTGGATACTATTTTTAAAACAAACTGTTAATGAAAGCCTCAAAAACTTGAGAACACTTTACTCTTGAGATTAAAGTCACTATCATATACTTTAAAAAGGCAAAGACATTAACCTCACTGTTAGAGTCATATTACTGAACTCAAGGCAGGGTCCGGTATAACACATCAACTAGGTCTGTTCTCATAAACCAACAAAAAACTTCCTCTTCTAAAGAGAAAAATAAGAATCTTTCCTATGACCAATAAAAATGTTATTTCACAATGGAAAAAAACACCTGTGTTAATCATCTAAAGAACATTCTAATACAGTTAATAAAAAGGAAGGACTCTATCAGAACATCAGACAACGGTCCTACTGTGCCTTAAGTCAACACACAGCCATTTTAGGCACACACTAAAGCAAGATTTAAAAGGCACAATCTGATTTTTGGTAAGAAAACTTAACACAATGTTTTTGACCTTTGTTATGATATTCTATATACTATTAATAAAAACCAAGGAATTTATAATGTGTTACACAAAATGGAACTCTAATTTCTTCCAACCTCTTCGTTCTAGACTGTCAGCGCCCAGGTTTCCTCCTAAGAAGGTGAAATAATCACTTTCTTTTGGGGGTGGAACGGTAATTGGTGGTGGTGGGAATGACAACAGCAGTGTTACTGGTCTTTTTTCACTTCATCAGGCACACCACACCATCCCCTTGTTACCTACCTTCTCTATTTCTTATGTACTCTAATAAACAGAATAGGACACAATCAATCAGACAACCGAAGGTTCAAAAGTATAACACGCTCAGCATAAAAATCAGATGAGGGAAAATTAATAGATAGTATCTATAAATGGTAGTAATTAACAATAATGACTAAATATTAAGTGATCAAATTATTATTAGCTCTGACATTCTCTAAATACTTCAACTCCTGCACTGTAAGACACTTTATGGGGTTACTCATTG